TGCATTGGTTGGATATGGATTCGATTGGGCTTGTTGAGCTCTTTTCTCCAAGATTCGTGACTTTTCAGCTTCAATGTATGCTCGAACTCTAGGATCTTCAATGGAATTGACATCTTGAAATAGAATTTTATTTTCTTCCCTCATTTCTTTTAAAGCGTGGGATCTATTGCACATCTCCATTTGGTGTTTTATTTGGTTGTTTGCATTTTTCATCTTTTCAACAAGTCTTTTGGATGGAGCGATGATGAATCATCATTTACCTTTCTTTTTAGTTTGGCTTTCTTCACCCCGGTAGGTCTTTCGGATGGAGAGCCACTAGTAAATTGATCCGAATCGCTTAAATTTACAGAAAATGAAGAAATACCTGCAGGTTCTTGTCGGGCAGACTCGGGAGTTGGATTTTCTGACTCCGGAGATGGATAACAACCAGACTGTTTTTTCTTGCTCCTCGAAGCTCCATCTTGAAATTTTTCAAAGTTTTTAATAATATCCCAAACATGATCGTATTTCCATCCGGATTTGAATTTGGAATCTTCCTTGAACAACACTTTTGCTTTGAGCATCTACAATTTTTCATAAACAATTAACCATAGCTAATATAAATAATAAATTTAATAAATAAAAATACAATAAGATTTTAGTACTCATTGTATCTTCATTTGATGCACCACTCTGATGCATATCTTCTATTGCTTTTATGCATGCATGGAGTCTCTTGGCTGCTTTTCGATTGTTTGAATTCTTGCTTGCATAGATCTCTTGCTCCGAACCTCCCAATGCTGAAGCCGTCCTTCATTGTAAGCATTTTCTATACGGGACCAAAATAGATCAGATGATTGGTATACCCCAATAATTGGGTCCTGAGAAATATCCATATAAACTTGACATAAAAGAACATCTTCATCATGGTTATAGGAAGATGAACGGATCGACATTCTTACAAGAAGTTAGTTGTGATAAAGCTTTAGTGTATAGAATAAAAATGTTGGGGTGTAGTTACCATAATATCATATCTTCTTTTATAGTGAAAGACCATCTCCACTCCCCATGGTTTATTAACCCGAAATGACCAGTCTCTGCAGAAGTCCTCACATCTCTCAATGCTTTGACCCGAAAATGACCACTCTCTGCCAAGTTGATCACGCTTATCCATGTTCTGACCCGAAAATGACATATCACTGCAATGTCCCCCACCTCTCTCAATGCTTTGACCCAAAAGTGGGCACCCTCTGCAAAGTTGATCACACTTATCCATGTTCTGACCCGAAAATGACATATCACTGCAAAGTTGATCACGCTTATCAATGTTCTGACCCAAAAATGATATATCACTGCTTGATCACGCTAATCCATGTTCAGACCCGAAAATGACACATCACTACAATGTCCCCCACCTCTCTCAATGCTTTGACCCGAAAGTGGACACCCTCTGCAAAGTTGATCACACTTATCCATGTTCTGATCCGAAAATGACATATCACTACTTTGTCCACCACTCTCAATGCTTTGACTCGAAAATGGCCACTCTCTGCAAAGTTGATCACGTTTATCCATGTTCTGACCCGAAAATGACACATCACTGCAAAGTTGATCACGCTTATCAATATTCTGACCCAAAAATGACATTTTACTGCAAAGTTGATCACTCTTATCCATGTTCTGACCCGAAAATGGCATATCATTGCAAAGCTGATCACTCTTATCCATGTTCTGACCAAAAAATGACCTCTCACCTCAAAGAGTGTCACGCCTATCAATGTTTTGACTTGAAAATAACCACTCCCCACAAAGGTTACCACACCTTTCAAATTCACTACTATAAGAACATAACATATACTAAATCCTTCACACACTTAAATCTCTTCAAACTTCTTATCATATTTCTCTATCTTTCTACAATGAATTTTAATTTTTGCAATTCGTCATCTTTTTCCTCTGATTCTGAGGATGATCGTATGCTAATTATGAATGCTCTTCGTAAAAAAAGCAGTGATAGCTCAAGCTATCGCTAACAACAACATCATCATTCAACATCTTATCAATCAACAAAACCAAGAAGCCTCCCATGGAGGATCTGTTCCTGGTCATATTTTTATCAATCGTGATCGAGAGGCTGCTGATCGTAGGTTGTACAATGATTATTTCTCAGAAAATCCATTGTATAACGAGACCATGTTTTGTAGAAGATACAGAATGTCTCGCTCGTTGTTCCGTCGAATTGTCGACGCAATCAAAGATCATGACCATTACTTTCAACAGCGAGTGGATCGAGCAGGCAGACTTGGATTATCTCCAATACAATAAATGACTGATGTCTTTCGTATGTTGGCATACGGCGTTCCAACAGATGCTACAGACGAGTATGTTAAAATTGGTGAGTCCACTGCAATTGAAAGTATGAAAAAAGTTTGTCGATCGATAGTTGAGGTATTTGTCGAGCGATATCTGCAGAGGCCCACATCTGATAATATTTTCAGGCTTCTATACATTGGTCAGCAACGTGGTTTTCCAGGAATTTTGGGGAGTTTAGATTGCATGCATTGGAGGTGGAAAAATTGTCCTACAGCGTGGGTTGGCCAATATGCTGGTCTTAGTGGAAAGCCTACAATCATTCTTGAAGCTGTAGCAGATTATGATTTATGGATATGGCATGCTTATTTTGGTTTGTCGGGCTCCAACAACGACATCAACGTTCTAGAATCATCTCATCATTTCTCGGATCTAACCCAAGGTATTGCTCTTCCAGCTCATTATATAATTCAAGGAAAAGAATACAACATGGGTTATTATCTAGCTGATAGCATATATCCAAAATGGTCTACCATTGTGCAAACAATTCGTGGTCCAAAGAAAAAATAATTTGCAATGAAACAAGAAGCCTGCAGAAAAGACGTTGAACGTGAATTTGGAGTTCATCAATCACGTTTTGGCATTGTAGCAGGACCAGTACGTTATTGGCGAAAAGAAGTGCTACATGATATCATAACCACATGTATAATTTTGCATAACATGATTGTCGAGGATGAACGTGACCTAAGTGCACCAATAGAAACTGAAATTGAAACGCCGCCGCCGGAGGACGAAATGGCAGTAGATGAAAGTACTCGATTTCAAGAATTTATATCTCGGTACAAAAAAATAAGAAATAAAGATGATCATATTGCACTTCGGAATGCACTAATTGATCATTTGTGGGAAGAATTCACCAACTCCGAGACTTGAAAGACTATCTAGTTTTACGTGATTGTTGTAATTTTCTATTTTATCTTGTGTGTTGTAATATTTAAATTTTCATTTTGTGCGTTGTAATTTCTAATTTTATCATGTGGTTGTAATTTTTTATTTTATCTTGTGTGTTGTGATTTTTAATTTTTCATATTGTGAATTGTAATTCTTAATTTTTTTTTTGTGGTGAAATTTTAATTTTTAATGAATATTTATTTCTCCGATTTTATTATGTATAATTAATTTTAATTACATAAAGTCCAAATTGAATTTAAAATAATAGTGTGGTTTAATTTGTAAAGTTGTAAAATATGTGGGTAGTATTGAAAAGTTATAAAAGTTGGTGTAAAAAAAGAGAATATTCTGGGAATATTCTTTTGGGTTTGAGAATGAGTTTTTCGGTTGGAGATGAATTACTGTAAAATGGGATAATTACTGCAAAATGGGTTTGAGTTTGGATTTTTCGATTAGAGATGGCCTCATATTGCTCGAGGACATTTTTCTCAATTTTGTCCATTAGGGTTTAAAAAACGTGAAGGGAGATGATTAGGGTGGCAACACTGATGGAGAGAGGAATATAGAATAGGAGAGAGATATATGCATTTTATTTACATTATCTCAAACTCCATAAAAATATGAGTTCATATAGAATAGGAGAAAGATATTTATGCATTTTATTAATTTTATATACGATCAAGTTGCCCAAAGCCCCTTAGGTTGTGGCTTATCCAAAGTCGATGTAAATGGGTCGGGTTGGGTATAAGTTTTGGCAAACCCAAAGTCGACCCGCATATAATTTACCCTACCTAAACTCGAACCGTTATTCGATTAGTGATTTTTGGATTCGGGTTCGGTTTTACCTGGCGGGTTTGTAAATTTTTGTCGGGTAAATGGGTACCTAAGTTTTAAATTTAGATTTTAACCGACCCATCTCGTTTCATATGAAAAAATAAAATAATATAATTTCACAATTAATTATGATGTAAGAAATAATTTATTAACTAATTTGACAATAAAGAACTTTAAAAAAAATTATATTATTTTTAGAATAAATAATGAGATGATTATTTATCTCTTATAGTCTATTTAATATTATAATATTTAAAATTAAGTATTTAATTTTTTTTATGTACAATTAACAAAAAAATAATAATAAAATTATAAAAAATAACCATTAATTAAAATTATAATAGATAATTTAAATCTTAAATATAACAAATGACTACTTTTATATTTATTATAAG